AAAATTATATGGCATGAGTCTTGAATATCTCAAATCTGGTGATAGTGCCTATTTTTTTAATATAGTTTTGCCCAGAAGGTAAACACTACGAGCACTAATTTTTATTTGTCATCTTTTGGTATAAACCCTCGGTTATGAACATTCGATCAGAATATACACTTTGAGTTTTAAATCTTTCCAACTTGACAATGTGTTTGGTCTTGGGCTATTTTTTTAATAAGTTTTGACAGACTATGAATATGGATTGATTCTTGTGATTAACTACTCATGACCTGTGAATGAAGTCTACAACTTCTATTTTTAATGCTATGCTACTATGCAAAAATGCTATGTGCTTAACTGCCAAAAGTGAGTCACATCATGTTGGTTTGCCTGAAGTAAACAAATTGGTAATATTTGATAATATTTAACCATCTATACTTCTTTTGGCGTTTAATCTCCCTAAGATTGTCGAATGTTCCACTCATTTTTGTTCATTGTGTATGCTTGCCCTATCTAATTTTATATGTCACTTGTCGAAAATTTTATATACATTTGAGAACTTATTGAGTTGCGATAATCTTTACATTTTAGAGATCCAATTTTTAATTATGGCATGACCAATTGGGTCACTGAGGGCAAACATAATGAGTTAGATATTACAATTTCTTATCCACATGAGTATTTTATAGAGCATGTGTGAAGGAGAAATTATTGAATTATCTATTTTGGGGATATACTTTTGTTTTAAATCCAAATCTAACTCACTGCATATCACAAATCAATCCCTCAAGGATTGTTATGATTGTTATACCTAGTACATGGTTTCATAAACATTTCCCAATCTGCGTTATTATTTATAGTACGCAGTCAATTTCAATATATCACCACTACAGCGTACCTCTAAAAAAGGCTACCAAAGAAGCCGCCGTCTCTTGATTAATTAATACCAAGAGCACATGATAAGAGACCAATATATATCCTTAGGTACGCTGACTGCATACTTAATTAATGAATTGAAGATTGTTTCTTGGCATTAGGGGGAGATAAGAGTTCAAATTTAATAGAATGCCAAGAAATTTCATAAAATGAAAATATTTTCATTATTTAAATCCATGTACTAGTTAGACTGAACTGAAAGTTCAGAAGATGATATATTTGCGATATTAGCAAATAATCTGCCAAATATATCTATTGATCATACTGATCATAAAAGAGTGACTAGGTCCCATATATCATCCCCAATTTGGACCAAAATATATCTACCGATACTCCTTGATGCCAGAAGTGTGGAGATCTATCGGTGTAAGAGATAAGAATCATTATACTAGATCTAGTAAATAAACATTGTCACTCTTGAATTATCTTGAATAATTATGTCTTGGAAACGTTCGTCCATATGACGAAAAACCCTAGTCAATTTATGGGTGCACCAAACAAACATAATACTAGGGATGCGGGACAACCAGATCTGAATATATTTGGGAAATGCCTAGAATCTGGTTGACTTGAATATTGCCATAAGCTATTATAAATATGAGAGAAATTTATGAAAGTATTATAGTTGTCGACAACACAATTGCCTTTACAAATTGCTCCGTTATATGATAATAATCTGGATCCAGAGTTAGGCACCAGAAGTGCCATGACTATTTAACGTATAAAGGAGCAATTAAGGCATAGTTCGACTCGCTAAAACGGATAATTCTCTTTATAACAATACACCGTTGAACGTTAACCCTGAAGGTTACAAATGAGTGTGTGCATGAAAGAGAAATAAGAATAATGAGGTGATAGAATATGAAGCGAGTTTGTAGCCTATGGGTTTACGCAGAGACCCTTGATTGATTTTAATCAAATATTCTCTCCCACGGTAAATGACATTAAGTTCCGCTACATAATACAATTGGCAGAATAATAAATTTAGATATGTAGTTAAATTTATTTTGAAAAATCCCTGATGGATTTATATTTCCCGAAATGAGGATTTATTTAAGTATTATTATGTGCCATTATTTACTCTTTAAAGAGTTGCAAATGAGGTTATTATCCTCATGTAGAAGGAATAATATGTACCATTATTTGCTCATCAAAGAGTTGATAGTGGACTCATTTATTACCTCAGTCAATATTGATGGTATAAGCATCAATGAAATATCTAAAGAGCTTGATGATATCAGTTCATGTCTAAAGACGGAGATTTGAAACAAAAGCTTGGGAAAGCTAAGTATTATCTCGACTTGAAGATCGAGTTTTTCCTTGAAGAAATTTTTATACAACAGTTAGTCAATATATGATTTTGATTGGATACCTGGACAAACAAATATATAATGGCTACTTGGGTACTGGCTATTACTTTTGTATCTCCATAATGCCAAGTTCCAAAACTGGTTGTACTATTTTTACCTCATTGTCACATAGAGGGTCAATAAAAGGATATATAATGAAATCCTTTTTAACTAGATACTATGATATTAATATTATACCACGTGAACTCCAGAAGAGTCACGAGATTATTATAGAGTATATTTATTCAACTGACAGTTGTATATATTTATTTACAAAATCCCTCTATACAGTTTGGATATTTAATGTATGGGAATTAAAGATTGTTATCTTGAGGGGGAGTATCATTTTACATGAATCAATCCTGAAGATTGGGTCTTAGATGACTAACGGCTGTACTCTTTTCCTTAGTTAAGTTTTTCCCACGGGGTTTTTCCTTAAATCTAAGGTTTTTAATGAGGCAGCTAATCTAAAACAAGAATACACATACATCATGCACTCTTTTGCTCAACTAGTTTTTTCCCACTGGGTTTTCTAGTGAGGTTTTTAACGAGACATGAGTATGATATAGTAATGTAAATGGGAAAAATTTGCAAAATAATTGCTTAAGTAGACAAACCCCAAAATCCTGAAGGTTATGTTGATTGTGCCCTGAAGGTTTTGGTTGTACTCTTTTTCCCTTAAATAAGTTTTTCCCACATGTTTTCTTAAGTTAGGGTTTTTAATGAGGCAATCAGTACAATATATGTTCTTACAAATATCATGTACTCTTTTCTTCAACTAGGTTTTTTCCATGTGGTTTTTCTAGTGAAGTTTTTAACGAGGCATGAATATATACATATATACTCTTTTGTCTAGGTTTTTCCCATCGGGTTTTCCTAGCAAGTTTTGAAGTGCCAGGATCATGTCAAATAATGTCCAAGGGGGAGTGTTATAAATATTATTAATGTGGACATTATTATATATATGGTAGTAGTTGTAACTGATAAGGTTACTACCTTTTATATGTATTCATTACCTTATATTTGTAATACCTTTGTATAAGTATTCTGGATGATGAATGAGAATCTTAACCTTCCCTCTCCCCTCTTTGTCTATTCTGATATTCTTATAACAATATATAAATTATATAAATTAAAATTGATTAAATTGTTTAATTATACTTAAGGTAAATCTTAAGTATAATTGGTTACGGAATAAGCTTTATTAAATTATATATATATATATATATATATATATATATATATATATATATATATATAAATTAAAATTAGTAAATAAGTTATATAACTTAAAATTGATTAAATTCTTAGATTATACTTAAGTTAATCTTACCAAAAATTGGCAAAACTGAAACCTAACAAATTTGTAAATTCGATTTTAATTTTTGAAATTTCGGATTAAATTCATTACACGAGTGACTCTAATTCGTTAATTTAAAAATATAGTGCAAAATATGAGTAAATTAAGGTAAATATTGTCAACAATTGGCAAAATCGAAAACACATTCTTATTGAGAAGTGACAAATACCCATTACATAACAACGATGAAGAATATAAGAAATGACTAATTCTAATAGAAATCTTTGAATAACTTTTTCATGGTAGATTTTCAACCTTTAGAGCTCTTAAAAGATCCCTTATTATATATATATATATATATATATATATATATATATATATATATATATATATATATATATATTATTAAATAAGTTATATAACTTAAAATTGATTAAGTTCTTAAATTATACTTAAGTTAATCTTACCAAAAATTTGCAAAACTGAAACCAAAATTGTAAATTCGATTTTAATTTTTGAAATTTCGGATTAAATTTGTTACACGAGTGTGACTCTAATTCGTAAATTTAAAAATATAGTGCAGAATAGGAGTAAATTAAGGTAAATATTATCAACAATTGGCAAAACCGAAAACACATTCTTATTAAGAAGTGACAAATGCCTATTACCAGGGACGGAGCCAGAAATTATGTTGAGGGGGGCAAAGAAGTAGGGATGGTCAGTGGCGGGTTCAGGAATTTTTTTCAGTGAGGCCAAAAAATTAAAATAAAAGAGAAAGTTTGAAAAAAAAAAATGAAACACTTTAAGAAGTATAACAATAAATATTGTTGGATATAGCGAAAAATAAAACATATTGAAACTTTATAAAAATATTTATAACAAAATATGAAACATAATTAATTTGATAAAACAATTCGAATATAAAACACATTATAAATTACACATTCCATTATTAATATAAAGAAAGTTATATATACATCTCATTATTAATATAAAGAAAGTTATATATACATCTCATTATTAATATATAAAAAAAAAGACATCACATTATTAATATAAAAGAAAGTTATATATATCATGCCAAAATTTAATAGTGTTGAGCAAAGATGTGAAGAAGACTGAAACAATGTCAATGCAAAGAATCGAACCCAGGCTATTTTGAAACCCAAACACATTTCCTACCACCTTGTTTACCAAAGCTTTTGTTTACAAGATCTGTTGTATAATTCTTATACTAATAATATACTATATATACATATTATATACAAAACTATATATAGGGTAGGGGTGGGGTGGGGTGAGGGGGGGCAGGTGCCCCCCCTGGCCCCCCTTTGGCTCCGTCCCTGCCTATTACATAACAATGATGAAGAATATAAGAAATGACTAATTCTAATATAAATCTTTGAATAACTTTTTCATGGTAGATTTTCAACCTTTAGAGCTCTCAAAAGATCCCTCATTATTTGAATCACATTCCTTGTTAGACTCCCATAGTGGTTTTAGCACAAAACTGCACCATATACCTGTGAGTAAAAAAAAAAACAAAACAAAACCTATACATCATAGACTACACACTCTATATAGTTTATTGTTTCAGAACCTATTGTCTCTGGAAGACGAATCACACGGAGCACTCTAATCTTGTTGTGATTCCATATGAGTCTAGGATGAAGTCCACGACCAACAATCTCGCTGTGAGTTGAAGCCGCCATTGCTATTTGGTGTAAATAGGAGAGTACAAAGGTAGAAATATGTTAGAAGCTTACAACTTTTGATTTTGCAGAATGATCTGTTTAAATAGTAAATTCTTATGTTCTAATTTGACCGGAAATATGGACTTACCATAATACAGAGTATATTATTTTCACAATTATGAATTGCAATATTACCATAAATGATTATTCCATCTTCATTCTGCCGATTTGTATGTATTTATGTATGGATGTATGAGTGTAGATGCCATAATATATTATGAATTTTAATATTACCATAATTAATATATTATGAATTGCAATATTACCATAATGAATTATGAATTTGTACTCATTAACCAGAAATATAAAGATTTCATAATTATGCAATATTACCACTTAATACATTTTACTTAATTTTCATTAAACATTTGTTTACCAAATAAAATTTATTATTAATTTGACCAATATATATATTAAATATTATTAATTGTATATAATATCTATATATAAATAATGGATGATATTACAGAAATACCCTTAAATTTTGAGAGAAAAACTTGCTAGGAGGATTTTACTTATATATATATATATATATATATATATATATATATATATATATATATATATATATATATATATATATATATAGATATATAGATATAGATATAGATAGATATAGATATAGATTTGTCCCTCTATAAGATTTTCAAATATAGAATTATGTCAGTGTGAATAATATAATTTAGGGAATATTCACTACTGGAAATTATGGAATTTCGACCACCTGAAAATGATCTTAAATTAAGTTGATATCAAAAAGTCCAAAAAGTGGTCGGAAATAGCAACAAGGGTTTTTCCGGATACCAAAAGTGATCGGAACAAGGCTTTCGACTTGATTTAAGATCACTTTCAGGTGGTCGAAAATTTTATAATATCCAGTAGTGATTTAATTATTTATGCAATTTGTTTAATTAGCCAATAATGAAGAAATATTGTTACCAAATGAGTAATGATCATGAAATGATTTGATATTGTTCGTCACTATAAATATTTCGCATTCTAGAGCAATAAGTTCACACAAACAAACTGCAATAATGGCCTTTAACTTAACCATAACCGTAGCCATTGTTGCTTTTATGCTTTCTCATTTGCTTATGCTTATGATCCAAGTCCTCTCCAAGACTTCTGTGTTGCGTCAAATGACCCCAGAGCTACAAGTAATTCTACTACTCATGGTTACTTTTTGCTTTTGTTTTAATCTATCGAGTTAGACTTACTATTCAAATTATGTGAGATTATTCTAAAGTAACGTTATTGAATTATAATTTTGTGCAGTTTTTGTGAATGGTAGGGTATGCAAAGACCCGAAACTTGTCACTTCAGACGATTTCTTCACCTCAGGGCTCAATACTGCTAAGACTCCAACATTTGCGGGTTCAACATTTAGTGCAGCTAGTATTAACGAAATTTCAGGACTCAACACATTTGGTCTCACTTTGATTCGCAATGATTTTGAACCGGATACTGTTACATCACCCCACATACATCCTCGAGCAACTGAGTTAGCCTTGATCTTAGAAGGATCACTCTACTTTGGGTTTGTTACCACTGATCTAAGTGACAGGACAAAAAATCGTGTCTATGCGAAAACCTATAATGCCGGAGATGTTTTTGTTATACCACAAGGCCTTATTCACTTCGGTCTCAATGTTGGATCTGGGAATGCAACTACTATTGCTGTTTTCAATAGTCAAAGTCCTGGGTTTAATTTTGTACCGGATTCACTATTTAGATCAAACCCTCCCATCTCAGATGATGTATTGTCTAAATCTTTTAGAGTAGATAAGAAAGTAATCACACAAATTAGATCTCAATTTTCTTAGAAAAAATTTCTTTTGAATGTGAGTTGGCTAAGTAATAAATGATTCTTTCCCTTTTATTATAATGTGATACTCCATATTATTGTGTGATATTTAAATATCTGATTTTATAGCCGCATGTAAATATTAACTAGTATGCATTTTGTTTAAAATATGACGAGCCCACACCACTCTAATACGATGCGCAGTATATAGGATAGTATAGTATGCCAAAAGAACTAAATGTTAGAAAATATAATTTTAGCTTTTAAATTATAGTTGAATAGAGAATATAGTTCTCAATTATTGAACGTGGATATACATCTAGTTTGTAAGTTTTTAATCACAATGTAGTTTCAATTTTTCAGTCCTCTCATGTGTTATAATTTTGATATCTAAATTTTAATTTTAATTCATAATTATTCAACATAAAAGGACAAAAACAGATGTTTAGTTAATTGCATACCAACATGCTTACGTATGTATATATAATACTAGTATTTTTTTATGCGTGATGCGCAAAAAATATGTGCCCAATATTAGTATTTTATATTAAGATTTTTGATATTTAAATAATAATAATAATAATAATAATAATAATAATAATAATAATAATAATGTAAAACATGTTTATATATATGGTAGGAAATAACTAACATATAACTCCAATATATAATGTATATATATTATTATTATTGACGAAGATAAGAAAATATATGGTGGATGCATGTGCATGGTAACTGACGGTAATAACGTTACCGGTAAATAATAATAACGATAATCTAATAGCGATGTGTCAGAGAGACAATAGTGGTATTGCTCTAGTTCTTAGTATAGAAAGTACAGTGTGTCTTTGCTAGCTGAGGAGATCCCTATTTATACTTAGAGTCCCAACGGTAACAACACGGACATAAATGAGGAGCCTGGTCTTTAAGTCTCTCTCATCAATGGGGGCTTCAATGCTGTCTTCAATGTCAGTAAAGGTGGCACCTGTTGGGATTCCTGACCGTTGGAGTTTCTATTCGTTGGGTTCCCATGTGACGCTGAGTCAAGAGTCCATGCCCATTTGTGATCCGGGTCGGGTGCCAGCCTATTATCCTGTCACCAGTCCCCCCTACTCCTGAGTCAACGGATGTGTTTGGGTTGACTTGGGAGTAAAGTTGATTTTATTCGATCCTGTATAGAATTCTGCTTGATTTAGAATATGTGATTTTATTTTCCAAATCCCTAATTTGCCTTCCAAATCACTGATTTAAGCTTTCCAAATCCTTTCCTGCTTCACTTTACTTTTTTATCTCCACCACCTCTTCAATATAAAGCCCTGCCTGCGAGTAGTTTGAGAGCACTTTCGCAACAACTTCTTGCCACAGCTCTGTAAGTCTTTGCTGTCGTTATTATCTCGTATTTTATTTAATATATATAAATATATATTTATTTATTTATTTATTATTATTTATTATTATTATTATTATTAAATTTTTTTATTATTATTATTATTATTTTTTTTTTTTTTTGCCTAGGCGCAGGGCCTTGGGTTGTGGTCGAGACGTTGCCTCGGCATGTGGCTGAGGCCGGCCGAGGCGTCGCCTCGACCAGGAAGGCCGAGGCACGGCCCCGGCCATCTGGCCGAGGCGCGACCTCGACCACCATCTGGCCGAGGCGAGTACCTCGGCTACTTGGCCGAGGCGTGGCCTCGGCCTGTGGCCGAGGCGCGGCCTCGACCAGGCGGCCGAGTCGCGTGCCTCGGCTGAGGCTGAGGCGCGGCCTCAGCCAAATTTTATTTTATTTTTTTTTATTTTATTTATTTTTTTTTTTTTAACATGGGCGGACCATGAGCACGAAATATCGTTTCGGAAAATTTTGTAAAAGATGGTACAAAACCTGTTTTATTAAGCAACATGGACGGACCATGAAAGTAAGGTACCATTTTCTAGACTCTTAGTATGTAGAGCGGACGGACCGCGATCGCCAAGCACTAACTCTAACGATTGCTATTACAAGGTTTTTAAGGAAAGTACTTGATCAAATGTTCCGAGTTCCATACCCGGTCAATCATTCTTCCCCCCGTAGTTTTTAACTTGTATGTCCCTGGGCGAACGACCTCCTCCACGACGTAAGGCCCCTCCCACTTTTTTGCGAATTTTCCCCCTTCAAGGGGTTGGCTGGCTTCCCTTCTTCGCAGCACAAGGTCGCCGACTTGGAAGTAACGGGGTCGGACTTTCGCGTCGTGGTAGGACTTTAGCTGGCGACCGTAGTTCTCCATTTTGCAGAATGCCGCCTCTCTCTTTTCATCCAAAAAGTTTAGATCCACCCTTTGGTGGAGTTCATTTTGCTCTGACTCGAATTCCTCCACCCTTATACTAGGTATGATCACTTCCACCGGGGCCCGAGCTTCAAATCCGTAGGCGAGTGCGAACGGGGTTTCTCCGGTGGCCCTTCTTGGTGTCGTGCGATAGGCCCAGAGGATGCCATCGAGTTCCTCCACCCAGGCTCCGCCGGCTACTTCTAGCTTCTTCTTGAGGCCGTCGAGGATGGTTCTATTCGCATTCTCTACTTGCCCATTCGCCTGAGGATAAGATACCGCCACCCGGCTATGCTTAACGCCCCATCCTGCTAGGAATTCTGAAAATTCTCGTGCCTCGAACTGACGACCATTGTCTGTGATTACCTGGAAGGGGATGCCGAAACGATATAGGATATTTTTCTCGACAAACCTTTTGCACCTTGCTGCAGTGATGCTCGCTAGGGGCTCGGCCTCCACCCATTTCGTGAAATAGTCAATGGCCACGATGATGTACTTTCTGCTTCCAGTCCCCGTGGGAAGGGCCCCTACCAGGTCAATTCCCCATCTTGAAAAAGGAATTGCGGTGCTTACCGGGGTGTAATTCGTCGCAGGTCGACCCGGCAGTGCTTGGAATTCTTGGCACTTGGGACATCGCTTTGTATATTCGGCGCAATCCCTCAACATTTTGGGCCAAAAATACCCTTGTAGCATGATGCGGCGCGCAATGGTGTACGCCCCTTGATGCGCGGAGCATACTCCCTCGTGGACTTCTTTTATCACCAACTTCGCTTCATCTGGATATAGACACCTTAGTAACGTGCCGTTGTAGGAGCGTTTGTACAACTTATCGCCCGAGACAACGTAGCTAGGTGCCCGTAACTTCGTTACCTTGGCGTCTGCCTCGTCTTGTGGTAGGGTGCCATCTGCCTTGTATCGCTTGATATGATCAATCCAACATGGCTCCCTAGTCTGCACAGGGAAGACCCACGAGACGTCAATACTTGAAGTCTCGAGGTCTTCTAGTCGAGCGATCTTCCTAATATGGCTGGGGACTCCGGTACTTAGCTTTGAGAGCATGTCGGCGTCGGCGTTCTGCTCTCTCGGTACCTGGTGTATCTCATATCCCTCGAACTCGCGCAAGGTTCTCAACACCGCGTCTCTGTATTTCTGCATGCTTCCTTCGTTGGCTTCATACTCCCCGGACACCTGGCTGACCACCAGCTTGGAATCGCATCGAATTCGGACCTTTTCAGCTCGTAGTCCTGCCGCCAATCGCAGTCCATTGAGGAGGGCCTCGTACTCCGCCTCATTGTTAGACAACTTGAAGTGGAATCGGATGGCATAGTAGGCGCGGAATCCCTCCGGAGTGACGAGCACCACGCCGCCGCCGCAGCCCTTGCTGTTGGAAGAGCCGTCTGTGGACAAAGTCCACCACCCTCCATCTTCAGTTTCCACTTGGTCCGTCACTTCCCGAGCGGTGCATTCCACTATAAAGTCTGCAAGAGCTTGGCCTTTGATGGCGGGCCTCGGTTTAAAATCTATGTCAAACTGACTGAGGTGCATGGCCCACCGTGCCATCCTGGCGGAACTGTTGGTATTCCGTAGGAAGCTTCCCAACGGCTGATGTGAAAGTACATGGATGGGGTGAGCTTGGAAGTAGTGAGCCAACCTTTTTGATGAGGTGACTATGGCAAATACTGTTTTCTCCAACACACTGTACCGGAGCTCCGCGTCGTGTAGGGCTTTGCTTACGTAGTAGATGGGACGCTGAGTCCCTCCTTCCTCTTTGACCAGCACGGAGCTGATCGCACCCTGTGACACGCCCAAGTACAGAATTAGGGTTTCACCTGCCTCTGGCTTTGCAAGCAGGGGCGGGGACAACAAGTATTTTTTCAACTCTTCGAAGGCCTTTTGACAGTCTGACGTCCACTCGAACCCTTTGCTCTTTTTCAAGATTTGGAAGAAGGGGAGGGATCGTTCAGCCGATTTCGACAGAAAACGGCCTAAGGCCGCCAGACGCCCGTTGAGTCTCTGGACCTCTTTTATGGACCGCGGAGGCTCCATGTCAAGGATAGTCCTTACTTTTTCTGGATTCGGCTCAATGCCGTTCCTGGTGACCATGAAGCCCAAAAATTTGCCCCCATCAACGGCGAAGGTGCATTTTTTTGGGTTCAAGCGCAAATTAAATTTTTTCATAATGGAAAATACCTCGCTGAGATCCTCGGCATGGGAAGTGGCCTTGCGACTTTTGACGATCATGTCGTCCACGTATGCTTCCATGTTTCGTCCCAGTACTGACTTGAACAACTTTGCCACCATGCGAGTGTATGTGGCCCCGGCATTCTTCAATCCGAACGGCATGACCAAGTAGCAGAATATCCCTTCGGGAGTGGTGAAGGCGGTCTTCTCTGCGTCCTCCTCATGCATGGATATCTGATGGTACCCACGGAAGGCGTCCATGAAGCTCATGAGTTCACATCCTGCCGTCTCATCCACCAATTGATCTATATTGGGTAGTGGAAAACGGTCCATAGGGCATGCCCTATTGAGGTCCGTGTAGTCCACGCACATCCTCCATGTCGATCCTTTGGGAGCTAAGACTACGTTGCTCAGCCACTGTGGGTAGTAAATTTCCTTGATGTGCCCTACGTTGAGTAATGCGGTCACCTCCTTTTTCACGAACTCTCTTCGTTCTGCCGACATATACCTTTTTCGCTGATGCACTGGTTTTCTGCTGGGG